TCCAGTCCTGGACTGTAAGAAACACAGCTGCAGATCCCACTGTTCTGATTGAGAAAAAAAATAAGCTTTTTTTTTTTTTTCTCCTGCATTATATATAATGTAGCCTTTGGTTTTCAATCAAAAAATGATTGATTGGTCAGATAATTTCACAATTTCATTTGTCATTTCAAATTATGATGATCATTATTACTGCGATTAGATCATTCTGATTAATGACTGACCATTAAGACGTGTTTCTGATAAATATTTTAATGTGCACAATAATAACCTTTCACATTGTATTCATATTTTTATTTGTTATCTTTTGCATATGTGTGGCTGCTCCGTGTGTGTCTGAGCAGAGTGCACGCGCGTTGCGCACCCGCCTAGAGACGCATATTGCTAACTTATTTAACAGCGAAATACTGCGCCGTTGACTTTAGACCAGGTTTTTGTTGGTCACTGGCGCATTTGCTTTTTACGTCATCTAACTAGCAACGTGCCATGACTGCGCCTGACCACTCCTCATTTTTAGACCAACACACCCAGGGAAGCGCAAGTTCATTTGCTAGGTAGACGACGAGGGCGCAGGGCATGAAAATGACAACTGCGCCTGCATCTAAATACCAATGACACTTGCGACATGGATTATGTGCCCTCCGCCGTCTGCTTTAGACCATCTAAATAGGGCCCTAAAGGCGCTGTATGTAAGAATGTGGCCAAAACAGTTACTGCGCTCAAATTCAAAATACTGCCGTGAGTCGTGTCCACCCCCCTCCCCTACAGATTCGAGGTTGCTGCTCTGTGCTGAATTGCTGCGTTGTGCTCCGGCATCCAGCAAAAATAGAAGTCCTGCATATCTGTTGCAGAGGGCTCCGGAGTGCCGCAGCTGAGACGGAGCCGGAATGCAGCACAGCCGCAGCCAGTGGAAACACACACATTGACTAGAACTGAATCCTATCAGCTCCGCTGCTGTGCCGGAGCGCAGACACAACCAACACGGATCTGGTGGAAATTGGGGGTGATTTGTTTGCGTCACCACGTCCTTGATCTTAGGTTTTCCAGAGGACCGTTCGAGCAAGTCTGGCTTCTCTGCTGCTAACGCTGCTGCCGGGATACAGCGGAGGAGGAGCCGGCTGCTAATGCTATGTACCAGGACACTACAAATGCTGCTTGCCGTGCTGCTAACTTTTGTTTCTCAAAAAATCAGTTGGGTCGATGACCCACCTGCACATGGGCTGCAATGTATGATCGAAAATGAATAACAGTTGAAAGTATATGAAATGTTCATCCCCGTCTAGCTATGATGCTAGTTAGCCAACTTTGGCTAAAGGTTACCTGTTGAGGAGAAGAGTAGCCACTTCGACATCCGATTTCAAATTCTTCTCCACTTTCAAATGTTTCCACCGTTCAAAAGCATCTCCTATATAGACCCTTGCTTTGCCTCAAGTTTTGTCTTGGCGTTTTTGGGAATCATAACGAGGTCGTTTGGGTTTAGTCGCACCGTCAGCCATTGTAGCTCTGTCGTAACTGTAACTGATGCTGAGACTCTACTGACTGAATAACTGGTAGATGGTGGTGGGTGGCACAACAGGCCAAAACACAAATTCAAAACATAAACATGATTTGCAGAAAGTAAAAAAATTTTTTAAATGCGAATATTCTGGCTGTACTATTGTTGTCGGTGAGATCAGTATGTTATATGAACATTATTCCTTAGTCTCTGAGACATATTAGGAGGATTTTACAACTATTTGCTTTAGATTTCTTACATATAGCTCCTTGAACTATAAAATAGGAAACCAAAATATATCAGTATATGACTCAACTCTCATTTTCACATAGTTTTCAACTAGCTCATATACCTCAACAGCGTAAGAGAATTTCTGGAATTCAGTTATGGTTTTTCAATGGCCCCATCTGGTCACCCCTTTGAAAAAATTCTAGGGTCTCCACTGCAGCCCAGCCTAGTTCCATTGTGCAGTAAATACTGGCTATGCATATGTAGGTAATAGGAAACTGTTGTTCTGAACCTTTCATCGAAGCAGTGAAACATGTTTGGTTGTTAGTCTAGTGCTTCTACAATCCTTTGGTTTGCTCTTGTTAAAGCCTCAACTCACAACAAGCAATTTTAACACCCATAACTGAAATTGCAATAGTAGCAATGTTTGTTATTTTTTAAGCTTTTGCATCGTTTAGTTTCGCAGTTAGAAAATCCTGTAATGTGTCTTGGACTTGATGCTGTGATAATGGTGCTGGAAAACAAATTATGAAATTGCAGCAAGTTTAATTGATTCCATGAACACAATCTCATCACACAGAAAACCTCTTTTCTTCCTTTAGATTTTTTTCATCGTCTTCCATCTCTCCAGGGTCTTATGACACTCTTTCCTTCATCTCTGTTTGTTACAAGTGTCACTTTGACCTACATCATTACAGCCTGCTGTCTGCCAGAAACAATGTATTATGATCATCATGTTACATGCCTTCCCAACCAAGGCAGATAATTCCAATTGAAGGTCCCGCTCTCATCCTGCAGCTTCCACACCTCTCTGTAGCTGCTGATGTCGTGACAACCTTGGAAGTTTGAAAATGTTGAGTGCAAACAAGGTGTGCTATATACAAGCTCAGTGCTCCTCAACAAACTGCCACAGAGAGCAGTTTGTCATCATAGCCTGGCTCTATATTATACCTGCACCTTTGGTCCTCCCATCTGGTTAAAGGTGTGTTAATTAGTTTACCTGGAAGGACGTACACATAAATATACACGAGTGCCTGTGGATATAAATGGCTACAGATGAAGAGGAGAATACATTTGCAACAAGGACAGAGCTGTGTGTAGGAGTGTGCTATACAACTTTGGTTCATTTTAGTGCAGTCGTGTTGAAACACACTTAACTGGTAATTTAGCCATATCAGTTCTCCGTAATCCCTCAGGTGCCATGGCTTGGCTACAGACCAATATGAACGATTTTATCTGAAATAATGAGTGTATTAACTGAGGGAGCACAGCCAATTACTGTTTCACCCTGAAAACGATGCTTGTTTATGGCCATGTAGCTGCAACACGATAACAGCCAGCTTTGCAAAAGGTCGAGCAATTGCAGACGCAAATAAACATGCGAGTGTTAAGACACACAGAAAGTGGAGATGGTTGTTGGAAACAGTGGCGCCCGCAAGGGAGGTCCAGGGGGGTCCCGGGGGGTCCCGGGGGCCACGGCCACCCTGACACAATTTCTGGACCCCCATGAGGAAACTAATTGGAGGCCGACAATTGTATGTAAATGTAAATGTCTGATACATGATTTAAATCCTGCACACCAGACCCACCAACCACAACAAATGGACCATACAACAAACCCCTAACCTAGACTTTTGTTACCTAAACCTAACTACATGCTTTTGTTGCCTAGACCACAACATCAACTCAACGTGAATAAGATTAACAAGGATGTCTACATCTGTTTTAAGGTAAGTCAACATTGTGTTTGAGGCAACATATTGTCACTTTGCTGGAAAGAAATATAAAGTTACCTTTAACATCTCTAGCTAACGTTAGCTAAAGTTAGCCTAACATTAGCTCCTAGCTGCATTGTTCATCATGTCACCTTGTTTGCTGGGAGTTCATTAGCCTATTTTGTTCTAGTTTTTGTACTTTGGTGATCGTACATCATTGTTAGCTGTTGTCCAAAGGGCTCTAGTTAAGCTAACGTTAACTTCTGGAGCTTAGCTTCATTAACTTATCTGTAATCGCAGAGATAATAAAGGTTGGCAAACGTTATGCTGAATGATTCAGTGTAAATACTGTAGCACCAAACTAACGCAGAGACACTCTTGGTAAAGATGGTAAAAAGGCCGTTATCCTTTTCTCATATTCTTTTTTAAGATTATTTTTATTGGCTTTTTGCCTTTATTGACAGAACTGAGGGTGAAATGGGGAGACAGAGAGAGAGTGGGGACTGACATGTAGCAAAGGGCCGCAAGCCGGATTCGAACCCACGGCTGCTGCAGCGAGGCAGTGCCTCTGTACATGGGGCGCCGGCACTATCCACTATGCTACCGACACCCCTCCTTCTCTCATATTCTGACCCAAAAACCTTAACTTCAGTGGAACAATGCTGATCCTCTATCTTGTTGTCTTTGATGGTGACAGCAACAAGAAGCGGTTCACAAGCGTACACTGGGACCTGTAAATTTTGGCTTGTAATTTAAGCTTTTCATCGACCTTCTCAACAATAAAATGATTAATATATCCCTCCAATGCGTAGTTTAGGCCCTTTTGGTTACTTCTGAATTACATCTGATCGTTATGTCTCCAAACATCATCAATTGCCTCCTGCGAAATGCCATGTACTGTGACACCTGCCATAGCGCCAGCCACTGAATGTTGATAGTTTGTCCAAGTGAGTGGAGGGGGCGTGGCTTGCACTAAAAACAGTGTTTTACATATGTTGTAGATTATTCTGAAAAAAACTGTATGCATAGGCCTATATCAAGAGTAAATTGACATGCCATCACAGAACATCCAACACTGACACAGGAGGCTGTGGATGTGGGTCCACCGACAAAGTGGGGATGAGAAGGCATTGATATACTGCAAAAGCATAACTGAATTCTTGAAATTCAGTTGGCTTTTAATGCCACTCCAAGATTTTCAGTGGCCCCATCTGGCCACCCCTATAAAAAATATCTGGGGGCGCCACTGGCCGGAGACAGCCTAGCAAGCATGTTGTGCGGACACAAGTCTGTGCAGCCGTTTAATTTAGAAGTGTTAATGCCAATAACCAGGCTTGCTTTCTTGCTTGGAGGAGGAGGAAGAAGAGGAGGGGAGTGGGGTTGGGGGGGTGTTGCAATTTACCGATACTTGACTGAGTTCTGACGCCAGCACTGAAATGATGTAAGAGACAGAGGGAGGGAGAAAGCCGAGAAGGAGGAGAGAAGAAGTAGAGAGAGGAGGGAGGGAGAAAGAAAGAGAGAGAGAGAGAGAGAGAGAGAGAGAGAGAGAGAGAGAGAGAGAGAGAGGGGTTCACAGCTCTGATATTCTCCTCACTTTCGGAGACCCAGACAGAGAGCAACTCCCCAGCGGGTATCCTAACAGAGGTAGGCTGGCTTTTCACATTCCCACCCTGTGAATATATCAAGAAAAATAAAATATGTTAAAGTTATATTTGAATTTTATTTGAAATAATTAAGAGGATCCACACTGAGCTGAGTGCAGCGATGGTAGGGTGTAATTCTTAACATATAGAGAACATACCACATCCATTTGGAATTCATTATTTCTGTGTGGGTGTCATGTTACCAAGTTAGATGCGTCGTGCAAACGGCAAGAATGACTCTAATCAGGATCATTTTTTCATGACTAAAATCTGTCAAGTTATTCGGACGTGTAAAAGCCTGCTAATTAATTAATGACGTGACTGTGACGTGAGGATAATAGCTAATGAGCCCATTTGGCTTATTTGTTTCTCCAGCCTAACTTTGACTCGAGCAGAACTGACTGGGTCTCCAAGAATCAGCACCTTGGACAGCGACGCACTCAGCGGCTCTCACGCGCCGCTCAGCCGAGGGAGAGCGCACAGAGCCCGGGCACCCATCAGCTCCCCTCCCGCTCAGGATATGGTGCTTCCCTGCCACGGCTCCCCGAAGGGTCGCAATGGGCTTTAGTTTGTCCATTGCATACTAACAGCCGAGAAATGCCCTTGACAACAGTCTGCACAGAGTTGTATTCAGCATGACGGCGGCACAGGAGACTGAGCGAGCAGGGGAAGACTCGGCGGCGAAACTTACACAAGACTAAACCCTTGCATGTTTATTACCCACAGTTGAAGTGTCTTTGCCAAAACACAAGACTTGACTTGTTCACACTACCATGGGGATAAGGCACCTTTTGTTGCTGCTGATATACCTGGACCCGCTGTGCGTGCTGAGCGCCGCTACAGGCGGTAAAAAACCCAAGCAGGGGGGGCCAAGAAAACCAAGACCCACCACGGTCCCCACGGTCGTCCCGCCGAAGACCCCGCCGCCGCCGCCGCCCGCTAAAGATCACGACACATGCCTGGGCTACTACGACGTTAGCGGGCAGTATGACAAAATGTTCGAGTGCAACAACACGAACCACCGGTACTGCTGCGGGACGTGTTACCTGCGCTTCTGCTGCGAGTACAAGAAAGACCGGCTGGATCAGAAAGCCTGCAAGAACTACCAAACACCGGTGTGGGTGCAGACGGCCGCCCCGTCGCCCATCCCGACCGGTGAAACGTACGATCCGAGCATGGATCAGACGAACACGGCGGTCTATATCACCTGTGGGATCATAGCCTTCATCATAGTGTTGGGAGTGTCGGTGAAAGTTGCGTATGACAAAGCTACAGAGCCGCCTCAGGAAATGAATATACACAGGTGAGTGGGTAGAAGAGTTTATAATCACATATAAGAATGACTCTACACAAATGTGCAATCCACTCAAATAATTTCTTTAAAATGTTCTCTTAATAAGATAGAAAAAGAAACAAAGTCCCATGCCAAAGCTCATCGTTTGCCTTATATACATATATATAGACCATGGCTGGACAGACTGTCATACATGTAGACCTCTCTGCAGACAGGTGTCAAAGGTCAAGACTCATGTCAGAGACAAGTCTACCAATGGTGTAGGTTTTGTTTCAGCATTGGGGGGGACACACATGGAGAGGGGAAGGGGGGGTTCCTCATTCTGATGAATTTTTTTGCACCACTTTGTATCTTTTCTGCAAAAGCTTATGGTGTAAATGTCTTTAAGGTTGTCAGAATAAAAGTGCTCAGCCAGTGGTGTAGTGGTAGTTGATGAGGTGGGTGTACTATTAGGTAGGTGGGTAGATTACCATGAAGGAAGTTGGTATACTCTCCTATATATTCCTATGTATTTTTGGCTGATAGGTGGGTGTACTGTAAATGGCTAGAAAAAAAAGGTGGGTATACCCTGCATACCTTCGTATACCCTCCACTACACCACTTTCATAAGCTACTGATGTGTTTAATGGGGTTGGACAAATGCACATGCTCTAAATAATGAGTGAGGGGGGCCATGTCCCCTGCATCTCCCCCCAAAATCTGCGCCTATGCCAGAGTCTGTAGGTCACAGTGTTTATTTCCCTGTATCCAAAATAATGAACTAGAAACCAGGCTGACAATGTGTTTGAAATTAATTAACAGATTGTTATCTAAAGGCAAAGAGAGGAACACTTTTCAGATCAGATTCTATTAGATTTGCAGCAGATGTTAAATCCCAAAGAAGTGTTTCGGCATAAAAGATAAAAATAATTACGGAGGAGTTGAAAGAGAACTGTTACAGTGATTGTGGTGCTCATGAGGAAAGAGTGTGTGTGTGCATCTGCTCTGTGTGGGAGGGAGAAGCACTGATGGCCAACATTTATATTGGATGGTTGTTAGTTTATATAGCAGATACAATTAGGGCTAGGCGATATGGAGAAAATCTAAATCACAATGTTTGTGACCTTGGTATCGATATTGAGATGATATTGTAGGGTTGACTGTTGGTGCTTTCCCAAAATACTTACACAGTGACATTTCTAAAGGTATTTATCAGTAATGTGACTATAATGACTACGCTGGTAAAGGTGAATAATATCAGCTAGAACAGTCTCGTACATAGTGTTATTATCTGAATTTCTAACTTTAATACTGTACCTTGATAAGTATCCGTACCTGACACTATTTTGAAACACTGACATTACGAGCAAAATTTTTATTTGACAGATAAATACAACAAGGATATCACATGACAATGACGACTTTTCTTGGTTAGGGGCAGAAACAGTAGAATTATTGTAGGAAACATTAATAAAAACAGAGAGCGAGAAAGCGCATCTGGTACCAGTGTATCGATACTGCCGATAATGAGTATTAAAACCGTTTCAAACATACAAAATCTATATTAGGGCAGCAACTAACAATTATTTTCATAGTTAATTAATCTGTCGATTATTTTCTCAATTAATCGATTACTGTTTGGTCTATGATCTGTGAGAAAATGGTGAAAAATGGTGATCAGTGTTCCCCAATGCCCAAGATGACGTTCTCAGATGTTTTGTTTTGTCCACAAACCCAAAGATATTCGGTTCACTGTCATAGATGGGTAAAGAAACCAGAAAATATTCATATCTGAGAGGCTAGAATCAGAAGAATTTTGACTTATTTTCCTAAAAAATTCCTCAAACCAATGAATCACTTATTAAATTAGTTGGCGATTGATTAAATAGTTGACAATCAATCGATTAATTGATTAATCATTGCAGGTCTAATCTATATATATATTGATAAAATGATATTTTTGATTACACTGCTGGTAAGTTTAGAAAATTATAGCGCTTTATTGTAGTGCAGCCTTAAAACAAGTGAAAGACAACCCTTACAATATTATGATATCCAAAATACAAGACGATATCTATTATATCGTGATAATATCATGATATCGATATATATTCCCTCACCCTAGATGCATTCTTTCTTTTTTTCCCATTTAAGCTGGGATAAAAATAGAGTCTTGAATTTTTGAATCAAACTGTAGCCCAGATATTTTGCTCATGAGGCAACTAAGACAAGGCAGCCAGCTGTCAAACATCATACTTCACGACCCCATTCCTCCACCCCCGTCCCCACCCCCACCCTTTGCACATCAGCACATGGCTGTCTGGTATGTTCAGGTGGGGATTTGACAAGAATGTTTAGCAGAGATGGGATATCATGGCTAATGATTGCATCTCACCTCCTCAGCTGGCTCCTGCTTCCTCCTGGGGCTCCACCATATGAGAGTTATCACACAAGAGTGGACCACATGTTGTAGACTGTACCTACATCAGTGAACAAACGCTGACACACATTATTTCCTCAAGATTGAATAGCTTTTTTTATTGGATGCATTATTCAACACTTGAGCAATCTTAAGACTGTGAATAATGGATAGTGTTAACGTTAGGGGGCTGTATCAAGGTCGTGTGACATGCATGCACCACTGCACATTCAATAAGGAACAGGAAGGAGGGGTGGGGGGCGAGGCTAAAATATTCATTTAAAAGCAAAGGTTACGTCGGTGATACATTTGTCATGCAAAGGCTTTGAGCCGCTGCAGTGCTGCAAAAGTAATTTGATTTCCTTTTTTCAAAAGCAACGCCAGAAAAAGCAAACAAACACTTTTTGAACTTTCTTTCATCGTGATTGCTTCTCCCTCTCTTCCACTCTCCCCCCTCGAGGGTTCCATCCTTCCATATGCACCTGGTGCGGTCTGAAAAACATTCAGATTCAACCCAATTAGACAAGATACTCACACACATCCAGTGTTGTTTCTCTTGCAAATGAACATTCGTCATGTTCCCAGACGTAAAAAAAATAAAAATAAAAAATCACAGAAACAGAGCAGCCCTGAATTACCCATAATAGCACAACACTGTCTTAACAATTAGCAGCCATTCGGTGCGTAAAAAACAGACATGCCATCACTTCATTTTTAACTGAGTTCAGCTGCACTAAGAGCAAAAAAAACTGTACAAAACGAGAAACATGCTGCAGTATTAACATTCGTTCCTGTTTTTTTTTCTCTCTGCTTCCAGGGCCCTTGCAGACATCCTGAGGCAGCAGGGGCCCATCCCCATATCACAATATGACTGCGAGAATTTCGCAGCGATGAACGGCTCACCCAAAGACAACACACCAGTCAGAACCTCATCCAAGAACCACTACACCCCTGTTCACACCTCCAAATCCAACCATGGTAAGAGCTCTCCTCTCTCTCCACTCGATGCTCAAAGCCTCACAAGCATCCACTAGTTTATGTGTCATTGGTCAAACATAGCTTGAAGGCAGATTTGAGCGGTGCAACCCTTTGCCCACATCCCTCTCAGTGTGTCTGTGTGAAGCTTTTGCGATACATCGATTATTTCTGTGCAAAATTCTGCATTCCCCTCCAGAGAGCACCCACTGCGCTCACCCTTTCAGCAGTGTAATCTCCAATGTTAACATCCAGTAATCATCCGATTTGAGCGAGAGGGAGTGCAAGGGAGAGAGCGACAGGGAAAAAGAGGGGCCTGCTAGTGGAGATAATTACAGGCTGGCAAGGTAGCGTGGCCCCGCAGTCTCTGACAGGCTGGAAGTGATGGCCTCTCAGTCACTAGGTGGGTGAATCAGACGCGGCGCACACACGGCATGATTTAACCCAACGATTCAGGGAGCAGGCGGGGAGCATAAATCGGTAATATGGCCGAAAAACTGGAAAAACAAGAGTGCAGGGGAAGGCAGGCGGTGGCGGCAGGTTCCTCGATAAAGCAGGTGTTATCAGATGGGAAGAGGCAAAGACACTCGGGGAGAGGGACACAGATGGAAAATAATGAGATATTAGAAACACAAAGGAGTCAGTGAGATGGAAAGAAAACAAAAGACGAGCGCAGGATGAGTGAAGAAATATTCTATTGGTGAGGATCTTGCAGCCGTTAAAGCACCTGAATGATGGTATGTGTGTAGTTACCTTTATAAAGGATGTATTAACACATATGGGTATGATACACCAAACTGCATTTATGAAGTGCTTCTCTGGTCTTGGTGGCCACTCAAAGCACTTTACAAGACAAGCACCATTCATCCATTCGCACACACAGTCATACACTGGTGGCCGAGGCGACCACGCAAGGTGCCACCTACTCCTCACTTAAATGTTCCTGTGGACTCACACACTGATGGCACAGCTACACAGCTGTGTTGGGTTCAGTATCTTGGACCAAGGACGCTTTAACATTTTAGACTGCAGGGGCAGGGATCAAGCCATCGACCTTTTGGTTAGATGACCGCTCTACCTCCTCCAAGTATTATTGGGTGAAATGTCACTGTCCAGTGAAAAACATATTTCTCTAAAGCTGCCCATCTTAAATGTTCAAGTAAAACCAAAGGACTCTTATAAACCGAAAAAAGGACTGTTTTTCTTAAGTCATGAAATGTGGGCATTTTGAAGATATATGTTTTTCAGAGGACGGTAACACAGCAATCCTTTGTTTCTGTAAAATTGCGGTATTTTTCCAAATATAGTTTATGAACACAGAAGAACTTCAGTTTTGCTTTTGTCATGAAACAGAGATTGCATCACATTCTCTGCACTCTATAGTGCACTGATACGGTACTGTACGCGTGTGTGTTACTTGCTCCTCTTCCTTACTTATTTCCACTCTACAAATCAGCAAAACGCTGTTCATACTATTAAAAATAGCAAAAATGGATTTTTTTTGGTTTAAGAAACAAAACATTTCTTAAAAGGACCAAGAGTGTGATCTTGGGTTCTTACAGTCCTTCAGACACTATTAGTGGTAGTAGATAGCAAGGCAGTTAACCAGGGTAATTATTTTACAATATAATACACGATGTTGGGAAGGCTACACTGAAATGTAATAGGTTAAAGACAAGTGGTTACCCTGTTAAAAATGTAATAAGTGGGGCATCGGTGGCTGAGTGGTGAGAGCAGGTACCCCATGAACAGAAGCTCCATCTTTGCTGCAGCGGCCCGGGTTCTATTCTGGCTTGCAGCCCGCTGCCGCGTGCTACCCCACCCATTTATGCATATATATTAAATATATGTCTTAACATAAGTGTTGGCACTACACCAGATCAGTCTTGGTCTCAAGACCACTTCTTGGTCTCACCGCAGACTGGAACGAAGTTTTTCTCCATTTCGTCTCGGCCCCAGAGAAAGAGGACTCTGGGTTTTTTTTTCAAGACTGGCCAGGACCAGAACTGCACCTGTGCAAAAAAGAGCATTGAATAAAGATGGTTTTAGTTGATTTCAGTTCTTTAGTGTTTGTATTTCTTTGTTCATAAAAAAAACTAAGGGAAATTCACACATAAAATTAACTTCACATGATTTTGATTATTTTATCAAGACATTTTTCATCGTACACCAATACATACAGACATATATACTGTCATAAAAGAGGTGAAGGAAGACAAATCTTCGTTTCTTTTCTCTGAGAATGAGAATATGGATCTTTCAGACCACTTTAAGGAGTACCTATTGCTTGCATTGCTCACATTTTATCAAAGTGTGTCATGCACTGTGGGACTCGTATGGTCTGACCTTGGTCTTTACTTGGTCTCAACCTTTCAAAGTCTTGGCCTTATCTCAATCTAGATACACTTTGGTCTTGGCCATGACTTAGTCTTGGTTCAGGTGGTCTTGACTACAACACGAACCATTAGTCACACCCAACCCAGTGATTATGCCTCTTTAGAGATACATGCACATGTTTGTATTTTTTCAATACGTTATCTTGATTTTAATCATTTGAAATAATTACATTTATCTCACTGCTCTCATGGCGGTGTGCCACATGTGGTTCCTGGGGGATGTTCCCACCACAAAATGGAACATTATACCCACCTCAGCTCCTCATTTTATTAATCACACATGTAAATATTTAGATATTTATAAAAGTCTTTTGTTGTATGTAGTACAATTTGAACAGGGCGTTACAGGATGTAAAACAGGATTTTTATTGACCTCTGCTGGATATGACAGAACTGCAGCAACCTTTCTGAAGTTCTGAAATCCAAACATCACAGCACCTGATACAGTTCATGTTGCTGTTCTGGATGATTGAAGCTACAGGACAGCAAAAATATTTTTGCGTCTTGTTCTCTAAATAATAGATGGTACACCCTTTCAGTTTTATTTGGGTGAACACAGTCGTGTGTGTCATGTAAAGCTGGCCTCTTTCTGCCACATTGCCGCCTATCAAACGCTAGCTGGGAACATTTTCTTGCAGCTCAGTGCTGGTCGCGACCACAGTCTGCTGTTCATTCACTGAGTGTCTCCCTCGCTCATTTGCTGCATCAGTCTATTCCTAATGGTCACTAGCCGGCCACGCAGGGGACACGGCTGATACGCAGATGGACGTGGCAGGCTGCCTTCAGTATGACCTTGCATGCATTTCTACTCAGCAAAGGTCGGGCATCACTTTATCTGTCTATCTGCCTCTGTGCTTGGCTGCAACTATTTTGCCTGCTTGCACACAATCGCTGCAAAGAGAACACAACTCGGGCCGGCTCAGCTCAGTCTACCACAGCCAAGCCCCCCTTCATCAGGGACCACAGCAGTCCTGATGGGGTTGGACATGAAAGGCAGTGACAGCCCGGGCGAAAGCGTGGTTAATGTGTGCATATAAATTGGGAGCTCCGCTCGATGCCTTAACAGGCTCCAAGGTGCCGCGGAGAGGGAGCCCACTCATAGAAAATGCATATTCATGTGCGCCTAAATGGGCATTTGGCACAGAGCGGAGAGGCAGGCCTCTTAAGGAGAGGGTCCTCGGCTGGAGTCATCGCTGCACTCCACATCCAGGGGCTTTTTGAGACACTTTTAAATGAGGTGGAGAGACCTCATAAAGCAAGTGGCTAAAGGGCCCAAGAGGATCCTATCAACTTGTGTCAAGAGTGGGAATAACATCCATTTCTCCTTTGATCCTCAACATGCAATGATGCCCAGTTGCTCCCAGCAATAATCACTTCCTCACCAAAGTCATTTCTTTCATCCTCAGAGCTTTGTTTAGGCTCAATTCTAAAAATACATGCTGATTTTTTTTTTTTTTTTTGCAGGCCTTGTGTAGTGACATGGTACCCTTGGTGCACTGCAAAACTTCCCTGCATTTTTAGAACGATATATTCCTTTTCAAAAAAGAAAAAAAAAAAACAGAGCCCTAAAGCAAAAACAGTACAGACAGCATAATATGATACCAGCGCAAGTGCTGCTATTTTTATTCGCATCCACTCTGCATTGTTGTGGGCTCAGATCCTCTTTTAGGTCGGGGGTGTAAACACAGAGCACCCCACGGCCACAACAAGGAGCAGACCTTGAAAGGGAGAAGTAGATACCTTTACAGGAGTTCGCCTTTGGTTAAAGTAAACAATAACCGCTTCTCTGAGTAATGCAGTTTGGCCCACAGCTCTCTTCAGATGAAGTTGATTTATTTAGTGCTCACCACAGGCAAAGATTTGCCTCTATTTTTTTGAAAAGTGTTGCTCGGTTTCCTCTCTGACATTTTCTTAATGCGCAGAATGATGAAATATAGTTTTCAGGTAGTGCAGAGAGAAGCTGTTTCCTCCGTCTCAGTTTACTCAACAGAAACCAAAGAAAAAACAATTACTCCGATATAGCAGTTCTGCAAAAGAATAGGCAAATTGGATTATGAGTTATGGGGCTGCCTTTGCCGCACCAGAAGAATCAGACGAAAGACAATGTTGGAGTGTATGCTCGTGCAGAGGTTGAAAAGCCTTCAGCCAGCATCTATAAGTGTCTGAGCTCCTATACAGCACTGGAGGGATTTGAGCAGTTGGTTCATTTAGTTTGAGATGAGCAGCCTCCCATGCTTAAAGGTCAGCTGCTGTGGACAATTAGAGGTCGTGATGATAGAATAACATTTCCAGCTATTTAGCAGCTTTGACATGACCTTCAGATATTTTTAAAGCACGTATTTGCTTGTGTGTGTGCGTGTTGTGTGCGCTCTCTGAGAGCAAAAGAAGGTTTGCCTAAATAACAAAACAGTGATTTAATTACTCTAATTATTCGCCAAAAGGCACTTTTATAATGATATTCAGTGAGCCCTCCTGCCCCACTACCACACACACACACACACACACACAAAACACCTCCCTCTTCTTCCTGCAACCTCCCTCCAATTAATCGTTAAAGCGTGCAGGTATAACATCTCCACTGTGACCTCGCTGGCTCCCCAATGGCCA